TTTTGATTCATTTAAAACTTGTTTCAGTTTTCTTTTTGATTGAAATTTTTCTTGGTTTTGTCATTGTTAGTTTTTTTTTTACTTGTTTCTGCTTTGTGTGATTTTTCTATATCTGAAATCCAAGACATGTAAATCTACAGACAGTAACTGAATTAGTAATTACCTAAGGACATGGTAGGAGAAGTTGGGGGAAATGGGGTGCCAACAACAACGAGGATGAGGAGAAAATGCTCTGAAATCGATTGTGGGGATGACTGCACAACTCTTCTTAACAGGACTGAATGATACATGCCAATAAAATTTTTTTTAAGTATTTACTGAATCCTTGTGAAACTCAGCACCATAAAGGGCTTAAATAAGTAAATGAATTAGTTTGACTTTGACTTTAAGGACTGTGCTGTCTAGTTTGAAAAAGAAAAAAAAAAAGACTAGATGAAAGGAGGATTAATTTGTAGACTGGAATCATATGGTAAGACTGGCAAAAGAGTCTTATGATCTATTGGGGATTTTAGGAAGATTGAGATTTGGATAGACAAAAATAAGGGCACAAGCATTCCTAGGGAGGGATCAAGATTAAGTAGAGAAGTGAGAACTTGCATAGTACACTCTTGAGAAAGGAAGGCGAGGTCTAACGGGGCTACTTGGAGAAATGAGTAAGAAGTGAAAGTTTTGTGGCTGGCCAATTTATGGAGCACCCAGGTAGTTAAGAAGCAATCATTTCATCCTTGCTCCTGGCCTTGACTTTTTGTTATTGTTGCTTTTATTTTACTTTTCATTATTCTTTTTAATGCTAGCACTGATCTCTGCCAAGCAGCATCTTTCCAGTTTACAATGATTCTGGCTCCTTCCTTACTATTTATCCCCTTTCCACCCATATGGGCAAATCAACTCCGAGGACTTATGTTTGTATCATGTGATTCCACAGTCAATTGGCGGGAGCTGGAGATGACTCATTGCGTTAAACAGAGATGCCACTCTAGGAAAAGGGAATTGATACAGAAAGCTTTAGATCAAGTTCTCTATTTCTGTATGTCACTGTAACTGTGACACATAATCCTAGGAATCATGGCAGGCCATCTTGTGTCTGTCACGTGGAGCAGAGAGTCAAGGAATCCAATCTTCTTAGGAAAAGAGAGAGGATGGCACACAGAGAACAGCAAAGCCGTATTACTGAGCACTTGCTGTTCCTGATGGCCTTCCAATTCTCACTTCTGCTCGCCCAGCTATATTTCTGCTCTGAGATCCGCTGTACTTTTATCACCAATCCCTCCAGCTGATGTTAGCTTGGCTTAGGGTCCTGTTATTAGGAACCCAGCGTCCTAAAAATAGTGGTGAATAGGTGGATTATTGAGGTTCTGTTGCCCTGTGCTTTTGTACATGTTCTTTCAACCTGTGCACAACGGACATGCCTTCTTCCATTCTGTTTACACTCAACATTAAACTAGTAACAGGTTGTCATCAAATCAACTGCAACTCATGGCCCCCTCAGGTGTATGAGAAAAAAATAGAGCTCCACTGGGTTTCTTAATGGATGGCTTTTAAAAATCTATCACCAGGCCTTTTTCCCCAGGCACCTCTGACTGGATTCAAACCTCCAAACTTTTGGTTTTAGCAGCCAAGTGCATTAACCATGAACATCATCCAATGATTCCTTGCTCAACATCAGTGTGAATGCTATTTCATATATTGAAGTATCGAATTCTTTACAACACCTCTGAACCCCTTTCTCATCTACCTTGTATTTATCTTTATTTGGTGTACTTGAAAGAAATGCCAACAAAGACACACAAAACGACTGGATGGACCATTTATAAATGCCAAGGCTTATGAACAGAGAATGGGTTTACTAGCCCAAATCTCCTAAGAGCTGTGATGTAAAAGGTTAGGAAACAAGAGTTCAAAAACAAAGATGCTATTAGGATTCTCTTTTAAGGTAGAGGTAGTCTACCTGGCCTGCGTGATCGTGGAGGCCACACGAGAGATGAACTCACCCCATGTTTTAGGGTAGGGACCTTCCCCAGCACTAGGGCCAGCTGTGTTGCCTGACCTTTTATTTAAAGGTCCTGTTCTTGTTGTCTCTGCTACAGTGAGCGCTGCCAGATGTACATAAAATCATTGCTGCCTTTTACAGCGTGGAATGTCACTACTTGACTGGAAAATCACAAGCCTGCAATCTTCAGAGAGAAGCTGCATCCTGCTGGCAGGATCAAGTACAGAAGGGAGGTGGAGGAGCCTGGATGCTCAGAAGTCTTGAAGAGACTCTGAAAAGCAGACAACCAAGTCCAACCCAGTGAGCTGACAACGGTGTCAACACAGTCGCAGTTTGATCCAACAGCTAAACTAAAAATAATCTGACACTCCACCACAGCATGGCTGCCTGGCTCTGCTGTGCAGAACAAATGCTGACATCCAGCCTGCTGCTGCATTTCCAACAGTTTGAGGTCTAATGACGTCAAAAGGGATTTAGAGATTTGAGTCTGAAGATCACCTGGGAAGGCAGCCGCTTGATGCTCAGTTTATCGGGCTGATGCTTTGTCTCCTTTCCAGTAATGATTTATTTGTGTCTTTTCAGAAGTAGTATTCAAAGGTCATTCAGGGTGTGGTCTTGACTTCTTTCTAATTACATTTGATAATTAGGCTTCTTGGACAGCATGTTTTTGTCAATAATTGGTTTGTTTCACATTGTTTGTAGCCCCTTATTAAACCAGGAATTCCTTGAGGACAAGCATCATGTCTTTATCCTTCTATCTCTAGACCAACAAGCATCTGCCAATTTGTCACACCATGGGACCTGCATTATTATAACGAGGCTGGAAGCTACACCATCGGGATTTCAAATGTCAGCAGGGTCTCCGTCATGGAGAGGTTTCAGAAGAACTTTCAAATTGAGACAGAATAGGAGAAAGGCCTGGCCATCTAATTATGAAAATTTTCCAATGAAATCCCGATGGATCACAGAACATTATCTGGGAATTCAACTCACATATCTTGGAAGCAGCAGGGGCAGTCGTTTGCTGTAGGACATCATGTTTGGTACAGTGGAGGGCCAACAAAATGAGGGAAACACTTCAATGAAATGGACTGACCCAAATGGCTGCCCCAGTGACCCTGAAGATGGCACAGCACAGGCTCGTCCAGGTGCACACAGGGTAGCTATGAGCTGGAGCCAACTGGATGGTGACTAACAATAACCTACCCCATATGACCTAACAAGGCCTGGCCACAGTGGAAGTTCTCAACAAAATATTTATTGAATAAAGGAACGAGTGAACAAACAGCAAAAATTCAACCCAATGACGAGGAAGTCAAATTCTGCCTAGGAGAGAAAATGCTCATCGATCTTCTCTCAGTCCGTTTATGAAGACTGGCTGACTCTGCTCACTATCCAGCTCACAGCTAGCGGGCGTTAGAAAGAGTAAACTCCTTCACAGGACTGTCATCCTGAATGTGTGGCTTATACACTGGAGTCAAGTGGAAACTTAAGGTTAAAAAATATATATATACTGATGCCTGAGCCATACCTCATGAGATCCTAATTTAATTATTCTGGGGTGTGGTCTGGGAATTGTTCTTTTTATAGAATTCCCGGGACCATTTCAATGCACAGATGGGCTGAGAACCATGGCTCTAGAAGAGAGGTCAGCAGATATTCTCTGTAAAGGGTTACCAAGTAAATATTTTAGGTTTTGTAAGAAATATGTTCTCTGTTGTAATAATTTTACTCTGCTGTTGTAACACAAGATAAATCATAGACAATATGCCGATGAATTAGTGTGACTGTATTTTAAGAGAACATTATTTGTAAAAGTAAGCAGTGGGTCTTTGGCCTAATAGGCCTTAGTATACTGACCTTTGACTCTAGAACAGCGGTTCTCAACCTGTGGGTCACGACCCCTCTGGGGTCGAATGACCCTTTCACAGGGGTTGCCTGATTCATAATAGTAGCAAAATTAAAGTCATGAAGTAGAAACGACAATAATGTTATGGTTGGGGGTCACCACAACATGAGGAACTGTATTAAAGGGGAGCGGCATTAGGATGTTTGAGAATCACTGCTCTAGAAGCATGCTCCTGAGGAGGGTTGGGTTGACCAGGCTGCTGCATCAGGTATGGAGAAAACACACACAACAAGGTTTCTCATTTAAACAGGATTTTTAGAAGAAAGTTCTAGTTTCATTTTAGAAAGTGAGAAGTGATTCTGAGTTTTAGTTCACAAATGACTTTGGCCTTCAGAAAGTAAAAATTTTGATGACTGACAGAAATTCACTTACCTCGTGGCAGTAGCTGTCTACTCATATGGCATTGTGAGGGCTAACTTTCTATTCAAAGTCCTGCCAACTGAGAGTTTGGACTTAGAATCTTGATGCAGTGTGAATTAGCGCTAATGGAATGCCAAGTTGAAGGTTAGATCTGAGTAGTGAGAGAAAGAAAGGACACGACCAACTTAGAGAAATAAAAATAAAAAATGAAACCTCTATATTGACTTCTTAGGGAGACCTTGTATGACCTCTATGTTTCAAATCAAAAAAATCTAGTAAGTGAAGGAGAAAATAAAAAAATAACCAGGCCTGCTGAATGGAAGAAGGCTAGACAAGAAAATCAGAGGCATACATTTAAAACCTGAACCAGGGCAGAAGCCCAAATGGGAAGAGGCTCTGTACAAGACCAGGGAAGGCAACTGATGGACTGATACGCTGTATGTGTTTTTCAGTTTCCTTTCTGGAATTCAGTGTGTGTTTTCCTTTTTGTTCATTTTGGAGTTGGTGTTGTGTTTGCTTGTTTTTAATTCTATAGGAAGAGCTTGTTTTTATTTATACTTTTTCATTTAACTTGGAGAAATCTAAGACAAAGAGGCACTAGAAAAGTGAACTTGCACCTAATCATCACAACTCTCTCCTGTCATCGCTCTCTGCTACAAGAGGGGTCAAGGGCCAGAGGGCTGCAAATCACACTTCTCATAAGCCAGGCGAGATGAGCCGGGAGGGCTGTCTTGTCCTCACCTTTATCCTATCGATGTTGGCTTCCATCTTCAGCTGTTCGACCAGCTTCCTGGCTTGTGCTATGCTGGCAGTGTTGTTGCTGGCCATTGGAGCGCTCGTGGTGTGCCTCGGACACACTAGACAGAACACAAAGAGGAAGCACGCGTCAGAGAATTCACAGGCTATTGAATGTGCGGATTTGTCATAGCGGGAGATCTCAAATCAGTGGCTGCAGCCAGGCCCGGCTTCTCCAGCTACAATCCGGAAACGTTTGATTACTACGCAGACATGAAAATGAGATTTGATTTTCAACTTCCGTTTCCCATCTCCTTTTTATGGAAAGAAAAAGAATGTTTACCAAGTCAGGTAGAATAAGATGTGTCCCATCCCCATTAAGAAAGAAAAATATGAAAATGATCTTAACCCATGAAATAAGAAGGTAAGGCGGATCGTATATATTATTATCTTTGCTATTTATTGAGTGTTGAGATTTTCAGAAACTGTGTAAATGCCTTCATAGAGTGAAGGAAAATAACAACAAGCCGAGGGAGAGATGGTAAATTACAGACTCCTCTAGGACTAAACACACCAAGTATAAAAGGCCTGCCCAATGACCTCAATCTCTTGGTTTATTATGACCACCTCAGCACCTGCAGAGACAGTGCAATTTTTAACATTTTAAAATCCAGTAGTAGCCATCTTTCCTACTCTCTGAAATATGGCTTAATTCAGAACTCTCCCCTTAACTCACAATTTCTCAGGAACACATCGATAATGTCAGCAGGGGCAGGGAGAAGTTGCTGTGCCCACACTGTTGAATGCATCAATTGGTTCACTAGTAGTATTCTACATGGAGTACAACAGACTTGCATTTTTACTTCTGTCTATATTGATTCATTTTGATTATGGTGCTGGCAAAGAATAATGAAAGTACCACGGACTGCCAAAAGAACAAACCAATCTGCTTCGGAAGAAGTAGAGCCAGAACCCTCCTTAGAAGCAAGGAGGGTGAGACATCATCTCACATACGTTGGGCCTTTTATCAGGAGAGACCGGTCTCTGGAAAAGAACATCATGCCCTTGGTACAAGGGCAGTGTGGCAATTACATAATCTGCCAACTTGCGTGAAGGGGTGGAGTATAGCCTGCCCATCAGGTCGCAGCTTGATGACCTCATTTGGAGGCCAATGGAGACTGGAGGCCAAACCCAGTTACTCTGCCTTCCCTTTCCTGTGGTTGAGACACTCAGAGAGTTGGAGGAGACATGGAAACCGGTGCTAGCACTGAGATGCTTCCACTACCACTGGATCCCCAAGACCTTCTACCCACTGGCTTGTGATCTTCCTGCATTCAGCATCATTGCATGTGCTGCGTGAGTCCAAAGAGGAATTTATTGACTAGTTTCAAACATATGTGCTAATATCAGACTTATGGACTTGATCTAGCCTGGGCTGTGATGTTTTCTCAATATACAATTGCTCTTTGATATAAAGCTCTTTCTAAACACATATGAGTATCTACGTATTTGTTTCTCTAGTCTACCCAGACTAACACAGGCAGCAAAGAAAGAGGCAGACCCTTAATAAGTTGGAGGGACATAGTGACTGCAACAATGGGCTCAGATCTAGGAACACCTGTGAGAATGGCACAGGCCCGGCCATGTTTAGATCTGTTGTATATAATACCAACTTGAGGGCACCTAGCAACATTTATGGAAGTGGAACACAAATGTTCAGAGTCGAGTGCTATACAGACATAGATTATGAAACCGTTTCTTTGCTCTGGCCCTGCCAGACTCTCTCCCAGTTCCTGTCACCCTCACTCCCACCTTTTAAAAGTCCAACCCACATTCATTTCTCTTCTACTCCTTTATTGTCCCACCATCTCTTTTTGACCCACCATATTTTATTTTATTTTCAGTGCCCTCTACTCCCACACTCTGATCAGGTCTTCCTTCAAGACAAACTGCCATTCTCTGTCCCAAGACTTTCTGCATACCGGTGCCCCTTTGGGTCACTGACCAGAGTAAAGTAATGTCTGAGGGTTGCAATCTATCCAGAGTGCATACCCCCGGCAAGGAAAACCATGAAAACATCGCCTCCGTCAACATTAGTAAAGTCTTGTTCTGAAGGTATCGTTAAAAGTCAGGACGCCTACTCCCTTTGGGAAATCTCCTCTCTCTAGAGAGGAAGTAGGACCGTAGGTCACACGTCCCAAAGAAGAGAGAAGACATGTAGAAAACCTGGGGAAGAACCCACAATCCATTCCGCTAAAAATCAAACCATCTTTAAAAGTACCAAAAAGGGAAACTTCTACAAATTATCTCTTTGGTACTTGTTTTTTGATATCTAATTCTTCAAAAGGCGAAATCATGTATAAGGCTTCTGTAAACATCAAAGTCTTGTAACAGAGAGTACTGTTTTATAAAAATGCTTCAAAATAAGTCATACCAAACAGCATTTACAATATCAGCTGGAAGATAATTAACCATTTCCTCAATTTGTTTTTCAAAGGGGCTGGAAATAATAAAATGGGAGGGAAGACTGAAAGGAGTTTGAAGTTGCAAATATCCCTGAACTCTCATATGCTTTGAAGATCAGAGGAGGAAGAATTCCATGCAAAGACAAACAAAACTAATAAATAAAAAAGAGGCCTTAATAATTGGGATTTCATAGGCATGGCTAGAGACCCAATCATCTCAGCCCAACGGGACATCCTATGTCCCACAAGCAAGCAACCATCTACCAACTTCACAGTACTCCAGAAAGCCAAGATGGGAGTACTGGCTTATCCAGTGAATTAACCTAGGGGGCAACCGAGCTCGTTCCATAGTTGGAATGAGTCTTGATCCACAAGGCCTCATCATTATTCTGGGAAGTTACCATTTCTCTGAAGCTGTAGCTCATTACCCTGGCGTGCACAACATCACCGGATTTCCATGTCCTCACTAGGCCTGCAGAAGCTTTGAGCGTCTGGACACCTACTCTTCTGCCCTTGAATCTAAACCAGGTCACCAGTGACCGCAACTTGTCTCAGTGTCCTTTCTTCTCTTTGTCAAATAACTTTTGTTCTTTCACAGAGACCCTAAGAACCCTGATTTTTAAGTGAGTGCATTTTGCTGAAAGATAAATTCAGCTCAGTATAGTTATATGACATTTTGGCCAATTAGATAGAAACAGGTGTTCTTAAGAGAAGAAGGGGTGTGCCTTGTGTCCCTCCTGTTAGATAGCCACCAGACAGCTGTATCATGGACTCCATTTTGGATTTCTACAATGAAGACTGGACCCTGGCAGCTGGAAGGATTTTGAGCGCTGGCTGATCCTGCAGTCTCACCGTGCCAATTGCGGACTGGCCACATTTAGACTGCTTTTCCATGAGATGAAATGTTCTTTCTTGTTTACAGCATTGTTAAAAAGGGCTTCTCCGTCACGGGGCAGCACCACACGTATACTGAGTGAATGATGCACTGTGTACGAATGCCTTTTCATGTTTTGTTGAAACAGTTGTGGAAGTCTGGAGACTGAGACTAAAAATAATTAACAAAACATAACACATGCAAAAGTACAGCGAGAGGAAGAGTAGAAAAATTGTTCCTGGGTTGACTTGTGTTAAATAAGGAAACACTGGAGACAGTCAGACAATGCAAAACATACAAACACACAACCCCCTCCACCAACATCACAAAGGAGACCATTCCTGTGGTTGGCTCTGAATCAAAGGCCCTAGACAAACAAAATAGAACCCCGCCCAGTCCTGCGCCATCCTCCAAGTGTCCCTGTGTGTCCCTCTCTCTTGTGGCGGGCCTTCCTTTCTTTCGCTGTCCCTCTGCCGAGCAAGCATGAGGTCCTTCGCCAGGGACTGGTCTCTCCCTAGCACATACACAAAGTACATGAGTGTTCTAGCTACACCTTTCCAAGACAGATTCACTGGCGCTTCTCAACCAAGGGGGCATTGCCTCTAAAGAGGCATTTGGAAATGTGTGTGGGTGGTTTGAACTCTGAAAATAACTGGGAGGGGTGTGTGTGTGCTATTGGCATTTAGCGGGCAAAGACAGATTCTAAGGTCCTGCGGAGTGGCAGACAACAGTAAGTTGCATCATTTTTAAAGGGCAATTGTGTCCCCAGTGGGAAATACAGAAGGACACCCTAAAATAGCTATAAACACGGAGAAGGGCAGCAACTAACTTGGCTGTTATAGGCTGCTGCTTTGTAATCTCTACTTCTCCCCCAGTGACGCATCAGTGTTGTTCTCCTCGTTCTCATGAGTATCATTATGGTTTACGGATATTTGATTTGTGCTCATTAAAAATAAAGCACAATCTCTTTCTTTGATGTGGCAAGAGATTATACTGGGCTATATTCTCCCGTGAGCAAAACACACACACACACACACACACACACACATCCCACATCTCTAGAACAATCACAGCCCTATCTGAGAGAGGCTGGTCAGACTCTGAAAGAATGTTGTAATCCTCCCACCTGAATTCCAAACCCCAACAGTAATAAGAAGCTATTTTATTCTTTCTAACTGCTGAGAAGAGGGTCCCTTCTCTCAAGGAGTATGCAGAATAGGTCTAGGTCTAGGTCTGTTATAGAATAATAACCATTTAGATGAGCTTTATTTTTCTAAAAATATATCCAGCATCTACTTTTTTTCAGGAGGAACTTTCCTGTTACAAAACCCTAACATTTTCTTGTCACTTAGGGTTGGGAGTAAACACACAACCCCTTATTTCTATGGGGACAAGATAACCACATGTTTTGCTAATGGGGTCTTTGCCTTGGAGAGCGTGGGTTAATTGCAAAGGATTCCAATCTTCTCCTACCCTAATGGTGTTTTGTTTTGTTTTTAAAGTGTGTCATCCAGGCAGGCTTCTTTAGGGCCTTTAATTTTAATTACAACTAAAACACAGTCCCGGGATATTTTGATATTTGCAGTCAGTGTGACGGGGTTTGACTGATGGGCATCCCTTGCTTCACGGTCAGTGCCCTGTTATGCAAACTGGAGGTCAGTGGCAAGGCCGGGCTGAGCAAGTCCATTGCAGCATTTGCCCAGCAGCATGTGTTCATTTCGTGTCGCTGTGGCACATATTGGTCATTCTCTCAATATTTTAAATTTCCTCATAAAGCTGGTGC